CGTCTGAGGCAGAGCAGATGATAATACCTTTTGGAAGGCAAGATTGAGTGAAATTCATTGATATCGTGAGGTCTACTTATAGCATCATGGGAAAATTCATGTACCAATTTATGCTAACTGGGATGACTAACACTCATATTCAAGTTCTAAGGATAGTCTTGAGACCTATTTATTATGTATACAAATAGCTTAGTATATTGTAGTGGAGAAATGCTAATTTGCTTTATAGAAAATCCCACTATTAATCTGATATCCGTAGGACTTGCTTTGGCTTGAGAGTCACGTCTGTCCTGTGACTAGTTGGCCCACGTGACAAGTTTGATTCTCGGTGGGGTTGTTGATGAGACCCGGGTCAGACAGAAAAGGACTGGATGAGAATACATTGTGGAAGATAGGGCTATAGTAAAGTTAGAGTACCTTTCATTTAGTTTAAAGAGGTGAGTGGAAGGAATTCTTAAATTGGTTCCACCAGCGGCTGTGTTTGGGTCGCCTTGGAACTGTGGTCGTAGGTTTGTGCGAATAAGTACTCGGCGCACCGCCCTGCGAACCCGATGATTCCTGGCCGAGCTTTCGTCTGTCATGTGACGGACCTCGTCAGAGCGGTACACCACGCTTAACGATAATTCATCAAAAACACTAAGGCAAGAAAGGTGGCTGACTTCAAACCTACTTCATTCTTATATTCCAATTTGGTCCACTTATGCATCCCATGTTTTTGTTGGATGTCCTTTCATGTCTTCGTGTTTTTGGTAAATTATCGTTAAGCATTATGACCTGCTCTGACGATGCTTTTCACATGACGGACTAAAGCTCAGCCAAGAATCATCGGAGTTACAGGGCGGTGCGCCAAGGACTTATTCGCACAAACCTACAACCACAGCTCCAAGGCAACCCCACCAAAACTTGCGATGGAACCATTTTAAGAATCCCTTCCACTCTCCTCTTCAAACGAAATAAAAAGGTACTTTAACATCAATGTATTAAGGGATTCTTCGAAACCCAGTTTTTCTACAGGGCTATGCTAATTTCAATGGCATCGTGTTGCCTACTTATAACATGGTGGAAAACGTAGCCCTTAGTCATTCATCTCTTTATATAGTCTAGATTGATTAGAACTTTTATTCAAGATCTTCTGTTGGACGTAAAGGTAACTTACTATACATGTTTTAAAATGATAGGGAACATGAGTATGAATTAATTCTTTGCAGTGGCTCTAGCATCGCGACCATGTCAAACCAACTCTTGACGAGAAAAGTTACTTTGTAATAAAAGGATGCCTTTCAGTTGCTCTGCCATCAAGATGACGACATTGGACAGCAAACTGTCGTACTGACTGATTCTTGCAGATGTTGCAACATTGAAGAGCTTGAAATGCTTAATTGTCAATTGAGAAACAGACAAAATCAGCCCTGTTCTTTTGAGGCTGGTCCAAGTTTGTCAGCATATTAGGCTTCGGTTTTCGTGTTTTTGTTGAGCATCGACTGGAGAGCATCAAGACAGATGAGAACATTTCTCTGAAAAGTAGAAGTTTATGCCAGTAGAAATTTTAAAAATTCATTACAAGTTGGTGAAAGCTAAACGTAGATTTAGTTGCGACTAGCGACTGTGAGATATTACTTGGAATATAAGAAAAGCACACCGACGAGGAGGGATTGAATTAAAAATATAGATATCAGATCCAGTTTTCAAGGTTTTTTTAAACAAAATAATGTGACTAAACTATCCATATCTTTATGCCCCCCTTTGAAGTTAAATTTAAAAAAGGCTTGCACTAGTTTAGGCAAAAATGTACAATTACGGAGTCAAAGTGTGCGGCACAGATTTCATCAGTCAGATTGTGCCATTCCATTTTTACACCACGATAACTTTTTCCTCACGCGCACCCATTAAAGAAATTTCGGTAAATGTTTGGCTTATGCTATTTCCTTTTATATAGTTTTTATTTCCAGGATATACAAGGCTGCCTTTTGGAATAGCGATCGTAGCTCTTCTTCAAGTCGAACGAGGTCTAGTCTTAGAAAACCCTTAACATTAACAATTCTCTCGAGCGATACATACTGCCTTCCTACTTATACGAACTCAATAAGGGCGCATAGGTGCACGTAGGCAAACACTAACATATGCTTCTAGATTAACATATGACTTGAATGAACCAAATTACTTTGTGCCTTATCGAAATGCATTAATTTCAGGTATATGCATAGCATTCAGGGATAGGCAGGTGAGTCTTCTTGACTCGTTAGCTTGAACATGTTTGTAAGAATGATAGCCTACTCCTACGCTGCATGTTATAGCACGGACGAAAGCTGAACATTTTTTCACCGGAATCGAAGAAGATTGCTTTGGTGACAGCTTCGACCAGAATGTAAAGTTGAAGCCAATCTACTGTTGGTCAAGAGGAATCAGTCGTCGTCTTCTGATGAGATCGACTCTTAAATCTCTTCACAACGCACAATTTCACTTTAAATCGAAGTAACCTCTATAATCTATACTTGTCTATAATGAGTTAGTCAAATTATAAATTATGTATAAGCGAGACCAAAAGTGCGGTCCATTCTAGATATATAACAAATGTTTTAGAGGCGAGGCTGGGGGAAATCCATCTAGTAGTCATTGCATTACCGTAGTCTACCCTTGTTGATTCAAGTTCCTATGCAAGCCTTACTGATAGACTCGAAAAATATTCACATTTAAAATTTGGTTCTTTTTGTGTATTTACTTCAACCGATTGTTGACTATTTAACTCATAATAAATTAGTTTTTTTTAGAAATGTCTAACTTTCTGGCGAAATCGTTAATTCTTACCTTATTCATTTCTGTAGTTATTTTGTTCGGCTATAACATATGACACTTTCTGTTAATTCATCACATTACATCCAGTTGTCACTGTCACCTTAACAATTCCTGGTGCATATTGACGCAGAAACGGCCTAATAGCTCCGACAACGTTGCTCTTTCTCTAAACGATGTGTCAAAACTTAAGGGTCCAATTGAAGTGAATGTAAGAATGAAAAACATGCCAAACGCAGACATGACGTCGAAGACATTTGTGGCAGAGCCCGTCCGCATCCTGCACAGCCGTCCCACAACCGACAAAGCCGTCACTACGAGGCAGGTCAAGTTCGACGCTACACCCACGAGGCCCAACTCCGGTCAGAATCCGGAGGGACCGCCCGTCTGTAATCCGGAGTGCCAAAACGCCGGAGTTTGCTTCCAAGACCGGGAGGTGCTAGATTCCTCTCCGACCTGTGATTGTCTACACACACCATACACTGGACGCGTATGCAATCAAGGTAATTGGTGCTTTTGAGTGATATCTAAGGGGATTCGAGGTTCGAAGAATCGCTTACTAGTTTTATGTGACTCTACTTTCCAATTGGATTGCAAAACTGGTTGAAATATCTTTCTGAATTGACCTTCTCATAAACAACGGGGGAATTGCCTTTGCCTTGGGAGTGTAAAATCGTGTTGCTTTTATGCGAAAGTAAAGTCTGAGGCTACAGCGTAGGTGATACAAGGAGTAAAATCAAAATAGAATAAATCCTATGAGTTTTTTTTGAAATTATAACTGGAATGCATCTCGTGCATCCAACATACTACTGACAGCAAAGTTAGTAGCCCAACCAAACTAGTTAAAAGCCCTGAAATCTTTTCCAATCTAGCAGACTGTAGCCATCACACTCTTACCATTTAATTGGTCTATGATTATGTAATATGAGAAGTACTCACCCAATTTCGTTTAAGGCGATAAAGGACTGGTAATAGAATTTTTCCACAATTATATGAGTAGAGCTGACGTTTTCATTGTATTTCACATAGCCTTGCTTTCCCAAAAATTGTTCTCCTCCAGGCAGAAGTGGATTGCAGTTTCGACCTTGCATCGGTCTGATCAACACCCCAAGCGGGAGTCGAACCTTGACAGTGCAGGATGGGAGCTTGACACGCTAACCACTCGGCTACACTGCCACGAGTACCCTTGAGTCACATGGCATAAGTGAATTTTAAGGAAGGCCACGCCTTTTGCCATAGCATATTCTTTGGTGGGATTGTCGATGAAGGAAACGTATATTTGCTATAAGAATCGACTACGTTACTTATTTTTCATATTTGAGTATATTTATGTTTTAGTATTCTAATATAATCTAAAGTAATTCAGACTTTCTGACACCAAGACAAGCTTATTCACGATTGTGAGTAAATTTTTCGAGACATTTCATTAAAATCTTAATGCTAAATGCTTAATGTTTAGCTCATACACGGCCTGATAAAGAATTCTGGAAGCCAAATACAAAAGAGTAAAAATCCAAATTAAGGGAGGACCGATAGAGCGTAGTAAATATGTCATCGAGGATACTGACCATCACAACGACAGATTTGGGCTTGCGCTTTCTTGATTAATCATCACACCATACCTTTGCTCCGCAAGTAGATTTTCTTTACTCCCGAATTTATGCCCATTTCGATTCTTGGCGTCTTTCTCAAGGGGCGTTCCGCTATCCAATATTAAATAGGCCACAACTTCGAGAAGTGGGGCAGCAAAACGATACTATCTAATCATAGACAGAGTCTTCCTATATGGCAGGCTCTGCTGCTCCGCCTCCGATCTTGACGATAATATAATAATTTACATATTAAAGACTGAAAATTAAAAATCGGCGCTAGTTTTTTCTGGGTCGAGAATGAGTAAATCGACTGTGTAAGCACTTATAGTGACTCTATAAGTAGCAAATTATCCACGGAAAAGTTACTTTAATGCTTTAATTACGCTTTGAAAAATAGTTGCCTGTGCGACCCCAATAGTGATAATAGCAACTGGCCCGAACATTGATTGGGAGGACTGCCTTCCGTTAATTTCGAAATTCGTACAAGTGTCTAAATGTGAATCGAAATTCCGTTCAATGCTGAAGGCTACCAGACATGGTTAAATTAGAACCGAATAGCACGCAGTGTTTATTCGCTAAACTCTCTTCGTTTTTCGCTATTTGCTTCTTAAAAATAGATGTTCTTGGTCCCTCAGATTAGCCGATATCAAAACATACCTATTTTGCTTACATTACATTCACAGATTTCCCATTTTCTCTCATTCAGATTCACAGCCAACCAACTCAAATACGAAAAATAAGTAACGTAGTCGATTTTTATAGCAACTATACGTTTGCTTCATCGACAACCCCACTAAAAGGATGTGATATGGCAAAAGGCCTGGCCTTCCTTGAAATTCACATCTGCCCTGTGGCCAAAGGGCACTCGTGGCAATGTGGTCGATTGGTTAACGTGTCAAGCTCCACTTCTGCACTGTCACGGTTCGACTCCCGCTTGGGGTGTTGATAAGACCGATGCGAGGTCGAAACTGCAATCCACTTCTGCCTGGATGAGAACAACTTTCAGGAAAGCAAGGCTCTGTAAAATTCAATGGAAACGTCAGCTCAGCTCATATCATTGTGGGAAAATTCTTCTACCAGTCCTTCATCAAATTAAACGAAATTGGGTGAATACATCTCATATGACTGATTTACTGGTAGTCTCGAAACTCTACTCAAATTGATTATGTAGTCTGGGAATTTGCATGTTTTCTACTTGACCCGCACCTCCTTGTTTTGAGTTTTGCTGGAGTTGTTGATGGGCTGGTGTAACGAAGTAGACAGCATTTTAGGAAGTACCGGGCGGTAGTTGCTGAGATAACAGCATTCATTTTCTCAGTTGATATATCAAGATAGTTGAGGTCTAATCTAACTTTTGCAAGTTTCATGAGGTGAATTCACCCTATTTCTCTTAAAGTGATAAGGGGACGGGTAGTTTAATTCTCCCACAATGATAGGACTACTCATATCATTGATTTTGACATAGCCTTATTTCTTAAAAGATATTCTCATCCAAGCAGGAATGGACGGCAATTTTGACTTCGCCTGGACTGGTTTCATCAGCACCCCCAACGAGACAGGAACTATGACTATGCAATGTATAATCTCGACACATTAGCCACTTGACCACACTGCTACGAGTGCCCTTGGATCACAGGGCGGAAGTGAATTTCAAGAAAGGCTCGTCATTTTTCCGTATCACATTCTGTATTGAGATTGTCGATGAAACAAAGTTGTATTTGTCGTAGCAATCGCCTACATTACTTATATTTCGTTTATAAGTAGTTTTTCGAGACTACCAGTAAATTATATATATGAGGTGTATTCACCCTATTTTCGTTTCGAGTGGCTACCTTTACAATTTAGTCGGGGTTTCGGTCCTGCCTATCTAGAAGAATGTACACCGTGTTGATTCCTTAACTGTCCGATGTTGAAGGAAGACGGGCTGGTATTGGCAGAGGGTAGAGTAATCCTTTCCTTCAATCCCTTATAAATAGAATCCCTGTCTGTTAAAAATGACAACCCGAAACTAATGCTTATTAATAGAATTCGTTTGGAGTGGCTTACAGAACAAGCCGGCAAAATGATTCCCAAAAAATACACAGACTGAGAGAGTGTCTGTTAGTTTGATAATGAATGTGTTTAACCTTTAGCAGGACCATGGTAAAACTGTAATGTTCAGTAAATACGGTGGTTTCTGTCTTTTAAAGCAGCCCTTAGGCTTTGACTGCATACAACCAAAGAGAAACTGGGTTTCGATGAATCTTCTGAGATAATATTGTTGAGGAAACTTTCATTCAGTATGAAAGTGCATGAAAAAGAGATTTGTAGGTCGATCTCACCAGAAGAAGACGGATAAAGCTCGTTGTACTGCAGCTGTTGTGCTTTTTTACGACATTCAGGTTGACGCAGTCCACGAGACCTTATTTTTCGTTTTGGGGAAAAGCGGAATGAGATTACGTCCATCATTTGATGGACATCATCAATGAGCCTGCTTTATAAATCTGGTAACTCGAAGATAATAAAGACTCATGGCGAATACCGCTTACTCCTAGACCTGATGAGGATTTAGTATAGGTGTGGTTTGGATACAAAAGTGTGAAGAACATTACTGACGAAATGGTGAATTATCTTCAACATATGACGGTACCAGAACCAGAAGATAGCACTAAACAGAGTCAAAGATACCCTCCAGCCGGGAGAGTAAGCGATGCTTAATCATCCTATAGTAATAAAATTCCGCTACACGTCTTTCAATCACCTCAGACGATGTAAGCCGAATATGTTCGAACTTAAATTTAGCGAGCTCTTGTTGCCATTGAAACAACCGGCTAAAGCGATGTTTGTGAGAGCCCATCAAGTTAAAATTCGTCTGCTTCTTTGGTATATGCAAATCATCCTTCCTTGAGCTGATTACTTTGAATTTCGCGAGGAATGTTTCATTCTACCAACCGATTGGAATTGTGCTTGTGAAAGCTGAAATCTTTGACCCTACAAGGGAGGTTTTCCAATACATTTTTGTTGTGGTGAATATCAAAGTTAGTTGGCTAAATATAATTATTTTGCATCTCTTATGCTGAAATTGATGTGAAATGAAAAAACGTCTTAACCGAGGCATAGAAAGCAGCCAAAGAGAAAAATAAAAATAGGCTGAATCTAATGAGTCAAAGATTTGTACCATAAATAATGTCATGAATTTGGTTTTCTTCGTGAATAGGGCTCCGTCGAACGAGTTAACTCGATTTGGTCTAGACTTTTCTTTCCGACATGGTCTGATTTGGCAGATGTGTGTATCGATCAGAGCAGTACTGAAACTATTCAGCACACAATGTCTGTGTGAAAAATGTCTAGCCGATTGAACTAGCATTATCTATCCGGTTGTAAATGGGTTCGAGATAGTCAATAAGGCCGAATTTTCCTACAAATGTGACAGACATGTGGCTTCATCTGCCCTTCATTTGGGGCCAAATCAGCTTATTAATGTTGTGGTTTCTAAAGTTCCCTGGGTTTACGGTCACACCCAATTGCCAACTTTCCTTTAGGCAGACATCAAGACAAACTGTTAACTACGAGAATGCTTTTTTACTATATTATCTGTGCGTTTGTAAAAATTTACTATTTGCCCAAAAAATTTAATCCAGCACCTTACTCCTCTTATTTAAGCCAAACGTGAAGTAGCTCGTTATTGAAAAAAATTTGGTCGACCTCTGCGAGTCAAGTTAGGCAACACACGACTCTAATTCTCAATTGGAGGAAAAGTTTAAAATACAAGTGCTTATTTGGAAGTGGTCTAAAAAATATTAGCATTATCACTGAGACTAAAAAATACCAGTATTATTATTTCAGCAACGTTTGAAACAATCTACAAAACTAAAGAATACTCAAGTACCATTATTCTAGTAACGTGCTAGTTCTCAAGCAGAATGCAGGCCAAAGTGAGGAACAGCATTTCCATTATAAATGCTAGTAGTATCAACGATTCTGATTGCATTACCCAGACAACCAGTAAGCCACTAAAAAAATTTATCCCGTTAAGAAGACTGATCCGAAAATTTCACTTGCTGATGTATGACCGGTTCGCTTAGGAGGGGAAACTGTCAGTGATGAGAAAAATCCTATTGGACGTCAAGTACCATTTATTTCGTTTGAAGGGGCGAGTGGAAGGGATTAGTAAGGGGGGTTGCTTGGATCTGTGACTGTAGATTTTTTCGAATAAGTCCTCGGCTTATCATTCCGCGACGTTGACGAAACCTTGCTGAATTTTCGTCCTTCATGTGACGGAAATCGTGGGAGCAGGATCATGCTTTACAATAATTCGCCAAAGCACGAAGACAAGAAAGGTGGCCGGCTGCAATCCTACCTACATCTTATAACTTAAACTTGTTCACTTAATGAGACATTTCATGTCTTGGATAGATATCCTATAATTTCCCTAAATGATTGCCGAAAATAAATTGGCTGCGGATTAAGCCTAATAGCTGCATCGTTCCATAAATCACTTATATTTTTTGACCCTGCAATAGTTTTACTTATTTGATTACGTTAAATTACATGTTTGCTTAGTGTACATGCAAAATATAAAATAAATAATAAAATCAACCATTTTTTTCATCATTTTATTCTTCATCTCAAGACCGCTTATAACACTAAACTAAGAACTCCCACCAAAAAACCCAAAATCAAAAGAAAAATACAGAGAATAAAAACTGTTTACTCTGTAATCTACCTTACGAATTTTTATTTTTGAAATGAGTGAAAGTGAACATTTAAATTAGAGATACTCATTCATCACAAGCTAAAGAATACAAAAAAATAAAATCAACTACAATTACAGTTAATATAAAAAGAAAAACACAACGGATTTTAAAACACCATCAAAAAACAAACAATTGCTTCCAATATTCCACTGAACAACACTAAAGTAAAAAACTTCAATTAAAAAAAGAAATGCACAACCGAAGATTCCATAAGCCACAGCAGTAGTAAGAATATTGCACCTTAAAACTTAAGTTATTTCATTTAAACTATCACTATTTTTGCAAAGTAGAGCTTCAGCAAGGCTTATGTCAAAAGGATTAAAATAAACTAAAAATTTACCAATACATAATATAAAATCGACAAATTGTCAATAAAACCAAGCAAAATCAATAAAACTAAATTGGAATACATAGCTTTCTATCCTTATTATCATGTTATTTCAAAATAAACGAAAATACACAGTTGACAAACAAATTAATCTGGCAAATACATGAAAACCATGAAAAGTTAGTCTAATTAAGCAAACACAA